TTTGAAGGGAGTTCCGGGGGTGGAAGGGTGGTGAGGGGGGCACGGGGAAAACGGCGCTGGAGCAAATCACTGATAGCAGTTCCTACGTTCCAGTAGAAAACAGAAAAGGAATGCGGAGAGGAAGCGATGAAATAAAATGGGTAACAAAAATTTTCAACGCAACTTCGCTGTTTGTTTGTTTTTCTTCTTTTTGCCGTCTGGAATTGTTTCCTGGTAGTGGGACTGGTGTTGCGAAGACGTTGTTTCTTTCTTGTTTTCGCTCTGCCGGCGTGGATAATTCGTTGAGATTCTTTCTTGTTCGGCACATCTTCCTGTGCCGGTCGGCACTTCCTCTCGTTGTTTTGCCCTGCTCCACTCGTCGTATCTTCTTTTTTTTCCCTTCCCCTTGTCGCCGTGCGTGGGTCTTTGTACGACTGCAGTGCCCTCTTCACCGGGGCGCAGTTCCGCTAGTTTCTCTGGGAGGTGTACTTGGGGCACCGCTTCCTTACCGCACACATTCGCACTCACTCCCACTTCTTCCTTATGTGCCTTCTTTTCCCGTGGTGTGCGCTGACATCAGGTTTTCCGCCACACAAGTGTACATCTTTTTTGACGTCTTATTTAATTGAGAGGTACATTGTTTTTTTTTTCGTTCTTTGTTCTTGTTGGTTTTGTCGCCTTCACCTTCTCTGCTGCTCCCTCGTCGTAGAAGCTGGCGGAGGGAAGGTGCGACCAAAAGCCGAGACAAACTAATTGCGTGTCTTTCTTGTTTAACGCGCCCCTGTTTTTTTTTTTTTTTTGGTGTTGCCGATTACTTCGTGCGCTCTTAAAGGCCCCGCGATGGAATGAGTGGCTGCGTGCAATTTTTGAACTTCTGCTTCCCCACGCAGTATCCCTCTAATACTCCTACTAACACTCCTCCCGCGGGGTTTTTTTTTTGGCGGCTGCGGAACACTAAAGCCGGCCACTTCGTAAGTTCCCAACGAGTCCGGTCATCATCACACGTATACTGTGAAGTAGTTTCATGGTTGCTGTGTTGGTCTGGGGGATACCATTTTGTATAGCGGAGGGCTGCAAGAGGGGGCCACAGTTTTCTTCGTTGTGCCCGACGTAATGGTTTGGATGGATGGCGGCAAGGCTTCATCAAGGGGCATACTTGATTGTGTTTTTTCTTATCTAGTTGAGACTGGTGGTTTGTTTTTTTTTTTTGCGCGGGTTCGCTGGCTTACGTCTGTGTCATTGGTGTGCTTGAGTTCTGCCAGTTTCTGTCGAGTCTGTCCTTTCGTGTGAATGTGCGCTCCGCGTGATGTTGGCTGAAGTCCACAGCGAACGGTGAAGCGGCAAGTCGGACCGGCCACAAGCGGCGCGAATAATTAGGAGCGGAGGGGAGGCTGTTTCTGTGTCCGCGTGTGTGGAGGGATGGTGAACTTGTTTCTTGCCTGCATTCACAACATAGTGAGCGCTTTGTTTGCCATTCATTTGTCAGCCTGTGGACATAGGAGCAAGTAGGCACCGAATCCTTCTCTCTCTCTCTCTTGCCCTCCGGACACAGACGTTTCGATTTTACCTTGTTTTGCCTTCTCCCTTGACGGGGCGGGTGTGTGTGTGTGTGTGGAAGCTCTCTGTAGACTAACCGTTAGCCGTGCTCTCTTTTCTTCTGTTCCTCCCTTCTATCAATCTCCTCTCTTTTTTTTAACTTGCTTTTTACTCTGTCCTTGATTCGGAAGCTCCTCTTGCTTCTTTGGTTTACTTGGGGGGGCTGCGGCGAAGTGCGGCAGCGGAGTAATTATGAGGTAGATGTCGATGATGGGCCCAGTTGCGTCGTTTTGAGTTATTCCTGCAGGTGTCTCCGTAATCCTGAATGCGGAGAGAGAGAGAGAGGGAAAGAGAGAAGGAGCAGAATACTCCGTTTTGATTGATTGATTTATGCATCTCCGTGTCAGGTTGGATGAGTGGATGGAGGGAGGTGTGACTGTGAAGCTGCACTTCTTCTGAGTCTTTTTTTTATTTCCCTACCCATTCAATTTTTACTTGTTTACTTACTTGTTTTCCACATTGTGCGAACGAGCAGCAGCGAAGAAATGTCACGGGTTGGTTGGGTTTGATGTGCTTCATGTTGATCTTGCATGTTTGGTTCTTTGGTTGCGGTACTTCCGACTTCTTTCCACGCGTGTGGCACACTTGTTTTTTGACGGACGGCCTGCCTCGTTGAGAAGCGCACTGGGGCGTGCGTGCACGCGTCTGCCTTTTGCTGTGGGGTGTGGGGGGCATGCCACGCCCGCCGTACCAGGGCACACTGCGGAACGCCTTGGCGGTGCCCCTCTGCTTCGTTTCTCTTACCGCGTGAAGTAGGGTGGCGAAGCGGAGCTGAAACCAAACAAGAGAAGGTGAAGAAAACAAAAACGGAAAAAAAAGAGGAAGAAAAAGAAAAAACTCACACGCACACGAAAAACAGCATCAACAACAAGGGCCACGCGAACAGTGGGAGAGAAATAGTTTGGTAGGTGCCCGCGTGGAACATATATATATATATATATATATATATATATATACACGCTTGTCGCCACAGAAGGTAGGTGGC